TCCCCTGCTCATGCTGTCTCTCTCTCTCTCTCCTAGAAATAAATAAATAAAACATAAAAAAAAATTTTATTTTAAAAATTTATTTAAATTTTTTTTTTAATGTTTTATTTATTTCTGAGAGAGACAAGGTGAGCAGGGGAGGGTCAGAGAGAGAGGGAGACACAGAATCCGAAGCAGACTCCAGGCTCTGAGCTGGCTGTCAGCACAGAACCCGAAGCGGAGCTCGAACCCACGAACCGTGAGATCATGACCTGAGCTGAAGTCAGAGGTGTAACTGACTGAGCCACACAGGTGCCCCTCAACTTCCTAATTTCTGATCACTAAAGTTATTTGTTCCATCCTTGCCTGCCTTCTCTTGAGCCAGTGTCTCTATCTTTTTACCTGGGCTCAATCTCATCCTCTTCAGCTTCTTCAGGAACTTTCTCTGTCAAATGTATGCCTTCATCTGCAGTTACAAATCTCTCTCTCTCTCTCTTATTTATAAATTTTTTAATGTTTTATTTATTTCTGAGAGAGAGAGATAGCGTGAACAGGGGAGGGTCAGAGAGAGTAGGGAGACACAGGGTCTGAAACAGTCTCCAGGCTCTGAGCTGGCTGTCAGCACAGAGCCCGACGCGAGTCTCGAACCCACCAACCTTGAGATCATGACCTGAGCTGAAGTCGTATGCTTAACCAACTGAGCATCCAGGCACCCCTCTTTTTTTTTTTTATATATATAGTTTATTGTCAAATTGGTTTCCATATAACACCCAGTGCTCATCCCAACAAGTGCCCTCCTCCATACCCATCACCCATTTTCCCCTCTCCCCCCCATCAACCCTCTGTTTGTTCTCAGTATTTAAGAGTCTCTCATGGTTTGCCTCCCTGCCTCTCCTCAACTATGTTTTCCCCTTCTCTTCCCCCATGGTTCTCTGTTAAGTTTACTCCTGTTCCACATATGAGTGAAAATATATGGTATCTGTCTTTCTCTATTTGACTTATTTCACTTAGCATAATTACCTTCAAGGTCCATCCATGTTGCTACAAATGGCCAGATTTCATTCTTTTTCTTGACCTTAAAGAAAAGTTCTCCATTGTTCTCCATTGAGGACAATATTAGTTGTGGGTTTTTTGTATATGACCTTTATTATGTTGAGGTATATTCCCTCTATCCCTGCTTTGTGGAGGTTTTTATCATGAGTGGATGTTGTACCTTGTCAAATGCTTTTTTCTACACCAATTGAAAGGAAAATGTGGTTCTTACCCTTTCTTTTTAAGGTGGTGTAACATGTTGACTGATTGACAAATATTGAACCACACTTGCAGTCCAAGAATAAATCCCACTTGACTGTGGTGAATGATTCTTTTAATATACTGTTGGATTTGATTTGCTAGTATTTTATTGAGAATTTTTGCATCCATGTTCATTAGGAATATTGGCCTGTAGTTCTCTTTTTAGTGGAGTCTTTATCAGGTTTTCATATCAGGGTGATGCAGATCTCACACAATGAATTTGTTTGGCTTGCAATTCCTAACCAAGACTTTTATTTTATTTTTAAAGCGAATTTTTTTTTTTTTATTTTGAGAGAGAAAGAGAGCACAATCAGGGGAGAGACAGAAAGATGGGGAGAAAGAGAATCCTAAGCAGACTCTGCACTGTCAGTGCAGAGCCCAACATGGAGCTCGAACTCATAAACTGTGAGATCATGACGTGAGCTAATACCAAGAGTCATACACTCACTCAACCAAACCCATCCAGGTGCCTCACCTAACCAAGACTTTTAAAATGATAATGTCTTCAAATTCTTGGCCACCATGAATTTGTTCCACAGGGCACATCATCAGATTCACTCTGCAAGGAGCTTCACACTGAAGCTGTTCATGGCCAAAGGAGACTAGAGAAATCTGACCCCTCAAGAATCTACCAGTCAAAACAACAACAAAATAATCTACTCGCCTGAAGCTTGTGGGGATCAATTTCCTGCAGCAGACCTACAGCCCATTTAAAGCATGTAAGTATCAAGGGCATGCTGATTGGGAAGCTCTGTCTATACCATTTCCTCTAGGCCTTATTCCTTTTCAGCATACCTGAGGGACTCACAATGGCATATTTTTGAAAACTCCTGGGTATTCTGTTACATTCCCCATAGAGACATTCTCCACACTTCCCTCTACTTAAGAATGGGTATTCTAGGGGTGCCTGGGTGGCTTAGTTGGTTAAGCGTCTAACTCTTGATTTTGGCTCAGGTTATGATCTCATGATTCGTGGGATCAAACCCTGCATCTGAGCTGTTAGCTCAGAGCCTGCTTGGGATTCTCTCTCTCCCTCTCTGCTCCTCCTCCACTCATGCTTTCCCTCCCTTCCTCCCTCCCTCTCTAAATAAGCAAGCAAACAAACAAACAAACTTAAAAAATATCGCAAAGAATGGATATTCTATAGCCATCTCTTATAAATTTTGCACAGTCTCTTGGCTGTAACAATCATACCTATGGATGATACTCACACCTACCTCTATGTTCAGCCTCAACCTCTCTCGGGGCCATTCTATATTTCCTGCTTCCTGAATTTCATCATCATATACGCATCTTGTTATCATTTTACAGTTGGTGTATTTCAAACTGAACTCATCCACCTTTCCTAAATCTATTCTTCTTCCTGTGTTCTTTATCTCTGTTTTAACTACTACCATCTCTCCTGACACATATTCTGGCCTTGTCTTTGACTCGTCTCTTTTCCAGCTGATTATTTGCCAAATCTAGTCAAGTTCATCTCACGGTGAGCTCTTGGCACCTGTCCTGTCCTCTTCATCTGTAATGTTATATCTAGTATGTTGCAGTGAAACCATAGTTGTTGAAGAGATTTTTCCTATTGCCAGTAAGGGTTAGTGGGTCCCCCCCCCCATTTCTACAAGTGTAACTTCCAAGAATAGCCCTCTGCCCTTTTTGGGGCACTTGTGATTTGCTACCTCGTACTCTTGTTACTTGTGAACCTGTTTTGTTGCCCTTCCTAATCTGTAATTTCTTTGAGGGAAAACTACAGCACAGTTTTCTGTGCTTGCTGCAACAAATTGTCAGAAAGTTGGTGGCTTAAAACAACAGAAAGTTATTCTCTGACAGTTCTAGAGGCTCAAAGTCTGAAATCAAAATGTTAACAAGACCACGTTCGCTCTGGCAGCTTTCGGGAAGAATCCTCCCCTGGCTCTCCTGACTTCTGGTGGCAGCTGGCATTCCTTGGCTCATGGCTGCCTCACTCCAGGCCCTGCTCCATCTTCGTATTACTTTCTCTTCCCTGTGTCTGTCTGTCATCCCTTTCTTATAAGGGTACATGTGGTGGCATTTAGTGCCCACCCAGATAATCCAGTGTAGCTTCCTCATCTTGGCGATATTAATCTCATCAACAAAGACCCTCTTCCCAAATAAGGTAACATTCAGAGGTTCTAAGAATTAGGACATGGACATTTTTTGGAAAGCCATATTCCAATCTACCACAACATCTTTGAGTAAGTGGTCTTAAGAGCCACGAGTAATATTTTCAACTTGAAATATTTTGGTTTACCTCAGGATTGGTAAAATAGAAAGAGAGGACTAGTGTTCAATCAATGTGTACAAACCAAAGATGATACCTAATTCAATGTTCTGGTCAATAGCTAGCATAGAGATATGGTATTGGACAGACCAGCCAGGCACTACCGACATGTTCAGAGCAGAATCAAACCAGCACTGCCTCTGTCAGTGCAGGGGGCTGCATTATCCCAGGATCAGGACATGCTCATCCCATAACTCCAGGGGCCATCTTTATAAGTTACAATGAAAAACAATTCCTGACACATTAAGCACTAATCAGTTCTACCATTTTTGCAGAAAAGTGTTCTGATTTTGCTTCATTTTGTTTTTAAACATTTTTTAAAGTTTATTTTTTTTAATGTTTATTTTTGAGAGAGAGAGAGAGAGAGACAGAAAGCAAGTGGGGGAGGGACAGAGAGAGAGGGAGATACAGAATCCAAAGCAGGCTCCAGGCTCTGGACTGTCAGTACAGAGCCTGATGCAGGGCTCCAACCCACAGACCTCAGTGCAAGATCATGACCTGAGCCAAAGTTGGACCCCCAACCGACTAAGGCTCCCAGGTACCCCAAAAGCTTATTTATTAATTTTGAAAGAGAGAGAGAGAGAGCATGAGTGGGAGAGGGGCAGAGAGAGAGAGGGAGAGAGAGAATCCCAAGCAGTCTCTGTGCTGTCACTTCAGAGCCTGACGTGGGGCTCAATCCCACGAACCATGAGATCATAATGTGAGATGAAATCAAGAGTCAGATGCTCAACTGACTGAGCCACCCAGGCACTCCTGCTTTTAAACATTTTTTAATCTTGTCATTGTAAAAAAATATTGTGTTTTTTTTCAATTCACCACATATTTATGGAGTACTTAGCACTATGGTAGATTAAATGGGGAGATAGATTAAATGTATATGTATAATTTAAACTAATTCTGTCACTAAGCAAAACTATGATGTAGATGAAGTCTCTAGGGGTACAATCATATTTCCAAAACAATTTGACCTTTTAGGGATCTAGTGCTTCATATATTTGTGAGTGTATTTATATATAAAGGGGTGCCAAACATAACATTAATATAAAGCGTTATACTGCAGAGGCCAAACCCAACAGACTTCTCCAAGAAGACAGGCCTTTATTATCTTATATTCTAGCTCTCAGTTTTTCAGGCTTTCGGAATAGGTGTAAGCGGTATTATTTTTGAGAAAGGAAGCACGCCATACAGGTGGTCGCACTGAATAGATGGCTGTGTTCTCCATGCATGGCTTGCAGTGCTGATTCTGATGATCATAATCTATATAAACAATAAGTTAGTACGTGTCTTAAATTGGACTTCAGGACTGTACTAAACTGAAGGGGAAAACAAAACCAACTAGATGAGGAAGCAAAAAATAAATCTCCTAGTTTATGAGTTCAGAAAATTATTGCAGTTCTTTTTTCTTCCCTCTGACTAATTGGAAGTTTGAGCACACAGCCTTCCCGTTGTACTTGAGCAGAGAAGCAGGAAAATCCATTAGCAGTTCCGTAGAGCTGCTGGAGGCCCTGTCAGACTGCGGCTCTGGGCTGCAGCGACGGCGCGCGTTAGGATTTGGAGGCTCCATGCGAGCATGTGGTCGTGGACTTTGTCAATGTCAGGTCATCTGCATAAGACAGTATCCTAGTGTCTACCTCCCGGACCCACTCGAGCCTGTTTGTCCTGCTTCATAAGGCATGAATGTACCACTCTACATATGGGGCTGATATTTATTTGGAATCATTAATTTCTCCTTTCCCTTAAAAAAATATTTCTATAATACTGAAAAAAGAAAGCAGCTTCTTGCTAATTAGAGTCCTCAAATGTCAAGAAGGGAATCTGGTAGTAATAGAAAAATAGAATCCTAGATGAATGATTCACCAGTGGATGGAAGAATATATGTGTGTAGATTTTATGCTGCAGGATGTTTATATGTCCAATATGGTCAAAAATAAAAGTGAAATTTTCTCTTTACCATAAATGGTAGGGTTTTGGCCAGTTCCGTAGTGATTTAAATAGGCTGCACAATGTGTCACATGGAAAACCAAGAGTTTAGTATAAAGCAGGGTGTTTTTTAACAGTTTGTTGACATTAAACCCCTCCCTTCCCCATCCCCATCACTTCTGTTAGGTGAGAACTCTTCATTCATCCATCCATTTCAACAAACATTTAAACAGTACCTATTACGATGGAGGAGTGTGAAAGAAGTGATCACTCACTAGAGCTGTGACACGGTCGAGGTACAGGCATGGAGGAATCCAGACCAGACTGGGTGGAGTGACGTCAGCCAGGCCAGGGCGCCAGGGAGGAGCCGTTCCCTGGCTGGCAGCTCTTGCAGCCTGTGGAATGACCGTGCACAAAAGCCCAGGGACAGCAGGGCACCTTCTAAGGGCTTATTGACTGGGGCAAGTTAAGGGACAAAGCTGTAGATTCAGGTAGGGGTCAGATTTACAAGCCAAAATCAGGATTTTTGTTATATTCTTAAAATAATCTGAAGTATTTAAAACTGCTGACAGATTTTAAATAGGGAAGTGACATGAGAATTGATTTCCACTCAGAAACTAGAGCTAAGCATAGCTTAAGATGCCTTTTCTGACACAGGTTAAGAGAAAAAGACATTATTCTCCCCAAGATGCTTTGAGGGAGTAAAAAAAAGGTGCCAAAAAAAGTTTGGAAAACAGTTCATATTAGATCCCTTTTTTTGGAGATGCTTTATTCATATTTGCATATTAAGGGAGTGTGAAAAGCTGGTAGCAAACAAATCATTCTAATTTTCTTTAAGCCAGGGTCTTTCAAACTTTTTGATTAATTACAGATTTTGTTTCTCTTATAGCATTTACTGACATTCTTTGTAATTCCCAAGGGGTAGAATTTGGAAACAATTGGCCAGTATAAGAGACTCTGCTGTGTAGAAAGAGAATCACAACCACCTACCCCAGGTAGGGAAAATGTCAGCCAGATGTTGGGAGAAGGTACTTCATTTTATATGGAGTGTGCTGTAAGGCCTTCATTTCATTGGAAACAAATTTCATTTTCACTCACACCACAGAAGAAGAGGGGAATAGCACTGTCTTCCTTCCTGGTACCTGAACTCTATCCTTATATTCATGACTGAATTAGAAAATCCTACGGTCGGGGTTGGGTAATGACTGGTGATAAATCTCAGCATTAGCTCTTCTAAAACCGAAGAGATGGCAAGGCAGAGGACAGAGAGTGCTTTTCTATCATATACACTGACCAGTGCTTTCTAACTAGATCATCTCTTTTTATAATTTATTTAAAAGCAGGGATGCCTGGGTGGTTCAGGCGATTAGACATCCTATTTGGGCCCAGGTCATGATCTTGCGGTTCGTGGATTCAAGCTCCGCATTGGGGTCTGTGCTGACCACTCAGAGCCTGGAGCCTGCTTCAGATTCTATGTCTCCCTCTCCCGCTACCCCTCTACCCCTCACACTCTGTCTGTCTGTCTGTCGCTCTGTCTCAAAAATAAATAAATATTTTTAAAAAGTTTAAAGAAAATAGAATGTTCCTATTTTCTTTGGAATCTAAATATTGTCTGTATTTTACAATTGTTTTTCTTTCCCCTGATGTGGTTTTTAATAAGAATGGAAACTGTTTTTTTTCAGTAAAGTAGAAATTGTTAAGTCCTTTTAGTAAGCCTTGGAATGTAACTACAATCGGTTACCCAAAAAGTATGTAGTTGGAAAAATAAATCCTAATTACTTTTGACTTGAGTGGTACATCTCTTTTAAACTCAGTAATATGGTACACATCTGGTGTAGGAAAAACATTTAGCATTGTAGTCATTTCTTTGATGTTGAAGGCTAGTACTGAGAAGGACTCCAGAGAACATTCCTTAGTTCAGAGCAAATGAAGGGAGTTGTAAAAGTAATGCTAAATCTTCACATCTAGTTAGGATGGCTCTTTCTGGCCCTCTCCTCTTCTCCCTTGTTTGTTCAAAGTCTGCTCCCATTTCTGTTGACATTTTGCTCTCTCCGTTTATTCTTGGTGGTTGAAGAAAGCTTCATGCTCATCCTTCCTTGTCTCATTTCCTCCCTCAGCTGTTAGGGAATAGCTAGAGAAGAGCGTGATGTAGCAACATAAAGGGACAGTCTTCACTCTGCTCCTGTAGGCTGAAGCATAGGTTTCAGGGCAAGTGAAAACACTAGTCTATGTTGAAACTCTGCCACTAGCTAATCATGTGCCAGTCATGTCACCCTACTGAGATGAGGTTTCCATTCTGTAACTAACCAATTTGGGGGAACTGTGTTTGGCAATTTTCCTTTGAAATACATTTAATGAATGCCTAACTTTGTACTTTTATGTATCCATTTAACAAATATTGACGAAATACCTATTATGTGCTAGCATTGTTGGGAGAATATAGAAATGAGCAAAATGATATGGTTCCTGCCTTCATAGAATTATGTACTTTCTAATGAGGAGATTTAAAAATAATGGTAAAATAGGTAAAATAGTGTTCTTCCATCCCATTCTCCTATTATATTTTATTTTTCCCTTTGCTTCTAAATTTTGTATCCTAGCCAGCAGAGCTGCCAACATCCATTTTGTTTGTAAAATAAAATGCATTAATATTAATATCAGAAGTTACTGTCAGAATATATATATTTTTTAAGGAAAAAAAATTCCTATAACTTCTCTATCTGGAGATTCACATGCTTACTTTAAATGTGAAATGACATTTTTTTGGTTTTTCAGTGTTTAAACGCTGGCATACCATAGAGTCTAACAGAAGCCTTTTGAAGTTTCCTTTTCTTTGCAGATTTATCATTACACATATTAAATGTTATCTGTCTTCTAGGTGATCTTTAATAAAGGAGACTCTTGTCTTTGACATTTGCCCTAGGCATAGAATGATATTTTAAGTTGAAAGCATTGCAGCATTTTAAACTTTATTATCTTTTAGAAGAATTACCCTATATTGTATGTATCAATGTTAGTAATATTTAATTCCAAAGATTTCAATTAAAATAAGGTCCCAAACATAAACTTCAGGAGAAGAAAAATGAGCAAAGTTTGCTTATTTTAATTCATCATAATTAGGCTCTGGATCATGGCTCAGCAAACTTGAAGACACTTATTATGCTGAGACTGACTGTCATTTGGGAGTAGTGTTAGGCATGTGGGTAGACTTTCCTTTTCTTTTATACATGATATCAAAGGGAGGCTTTTGTTTGAATGCAGCTCCTTTTGCATGCTTAGGAAAGGTGGTATGGATTTTCCTACTGATTTCACTGAGGACTTATCAGTTATCAGAAGTTCAACTTAGCATTTGAAAACTTGGCAGCTGTTGTGAAGTGGAAAACGCTATGGGGTCAGAATTTGGGAAGATGGAGAAGGGCAGGTTAGATGTTGAGAAAAGTCTCCATATTCTACAAGAACACGTTGCTGGTATCTCCCGGTGTGCCCAATATCTGTATCCTTCAAAGACATACACAGGAAATAATGTCTCCAGGTCATAATTCCAAGATAGATGTCCTTTCCTCCCTCCTTTCTTCCTTACCGAAGCATTAATTGAATATGTGCATTTGTGCTGAGGATGAAGAATGCTCCATCATCTACCCTTATCTCTGCCATTCAGATGTATATACACTTTAGTCATGTGTTCCTTTTATTATTATTTTTATTGTGGTAAAATAGACATAACATAAAAGTTAACCATTTTAATGTACACAGTTCAGTGACATTAAGTGCATCTACACTGTTGTACAGCTGTCTCCAAAACTTTTCATCTTCCCAAACTGAAGCTCCGTACCCGTTCAGCAATCACCATTCTACTTTCTGTTTCTATGAATTTGACTAATCTAGGTGCTTCAAATAAGAGGAATGATATAATATTTGTCCTTCTGCACCTGGATTATCTCACACTTCACGTAATGTTATTTATTTATTTATTTATAATTTACATCCAAGTTAGTCAGCATATAGTTCAATAATGTTTTCAGGAGTAGATTCTAGTGATCCATTCCCTATGTACACACCTAGTCCTCATCCTAACAAGTGTCCTCAATGCCCCTCACCCATTTAAGCCATCACCCCCACCCACAACCCCTCCAACAACCCTCAGTTTGTTCTCTGTATTAAAAAGTCTCTTATGTTTTGTCCTCTCCCTGATTTTATATTATTTGTGCTTCCCTTCCCTTATGTTCATCTGTTCTGTATCTTAAATTCCACATATGAGTGAAGTCATATGATATTTGTCTTTCTCTGACTGACTTATTTTGCCTAGCATAATACACTCTAGTTCCATCCACGTTCTTGCAAAAGGCAAGATTTCATTCTTTTTGACTGCTGAGTAATACTCCATTGTGTGTGTGTGTGTGTGTGTGTACACACACATGGATATATATATACATATATATGTATATATATATATGATGCACCACATCTTTATCCATTCATCTATTGATACACACACACACACACACACATATATATATAAAATACACCACACACACACACACACATATTATATAAGATACACCACATCTTATTTATCCATTCATCTATTGATGGACATTTGGGCTCTTTCCATATTTTGGTTATTGTCAATAGTGCTGCTATAAA